AGGATGGGGGTCCAGGGTTTAAGGGGTCTGCTAGGTGCCAGGGGATGGGGTGAGGAGCTGAGGGGGGTGCCAGGCCTGGGGCACCCTGTGGTACCCCCTCCAGCAGGGTGAGAATGTGCCAGGGATGGAGGGATGAGGGGGTTTGGATGCTGTGCCTAGGGGTGCAGCGGGTACCATGCCTGGGGTCTCTGAGGTACTGAGCCCATGGGACCTATGGGTGCCCCGGGGGTCCCTGGGGGTGCTGGGGACACCCTGGCTGGCAGCAGGGCTGCAGTGGGGGGGGGGACACTGGCACGGCTGCTCCTGCGGGCAGTGCCCAGCACCCCCGAGATCGACCTGGCGGAGTCGCTGGTGGCCGATAACTGTGTGACGCTGGCCTGGAGGATGCCCGATGAGGACAGTAAGATTGACCACTACGTGCTGGAGTACCGCAGGACCAACTTCGACGGGCCACCCCGCGCCAAGGAGGACCAGCCCTGGATGGTGGTCGAGGGCATCAAGGGCACCGAGTACACCCTCACCGGTGAGGGCACAGGGGCAAAACCAACCCCAAATATGCCAGGCTGGGAGCGGGCACTGCGGGTGGCAGGGGTCTGGGGCTGTTCCTGGGGGCTGGGTGGCAGTGCCAGGCTTTGTAGGGCACATGGGGGTCACAGTGCCCCCCCCATGCCTTGCTTTGTGACCCTGCTGTGCCTGCAGGACTGAAGTTTGACATGAAGTACATGAATTTTCGGGTACGGGCATGTAACAAGGCTGTGGCGGGCGAGTTCTCCGAGCCGGTCACTTTGGAAACGAGAGGTGGGTACCAGGGGGGTGGCAGGGCGCCCGTCACCCCCCCGTGCCACCCCATGCTGCCCCTTCCCAAGCATGCCAGGGTTCTGCGACCCCCTTGGTGCCAGGCGAGGTGGCAGGGGGACACGTGCTGATGGTGGCTGTCTCCAGCGTTCATGTTTCGGCTGGACGCCAGCACGTGCCACCAGAACCTGCGGGTGGAGGAACTCAGTGTGGAGTGGGACGCCACGGGCGGCAAGGTGCAGGACGTCAAGGCGCGCGAGAAGGACGGCAAGGGCAGGACGGCTTCGCCCGCCAACTCGCCTGCCAGGTAACATCAGCCCCCCCTCCTTGTCACCCCAGCGTTGCCCCCCTTTCCCCGGGTAATGGCAACCCACCCCTCCTTGCTGGCGTCCGTCTGTCCTAGGGTGGTGCAGTCGCCCAAGAGGATGCCCTCGGGGCGTGGGGGCAGAGATCGCTTCACCGCTGAGTCCTACACGGTTCTGGGTGAGAGCTGGGGGCACCTAGCGGGTGGTGGTGGGAACCCTGCAGGGGTGTGGGAGAGGATGGGGGCACAGAGGATGATGTAGGTGGGCATGGGGCACCCAGAGGGACCTGGCAGGGCTGGGGATGGGACGGGGCACCCCACAGTTGCACCAGGCAGAGCCGTGCCCCGTGCCCACAGGTGACACGCTGATCGATGGCGATGACCACTACTGGGAGGTGCGGTACGACCGGGACAGCAAAGCTTTCGGCGTGGGGGTGGCATATCGCAGCCTGGGCAAATTCGACCAGCTGGGCAAGACCTCGGCCTCCTGGTGCCTCCACCTCAACAACTGGCTGCAGGTCAGCTTCAGCGCCAAGCATGCCAACAAGGCCAAGGTGCTGGATGTGCCCGTGCCCGACTGCATCGGTGTCTACTGCAACTTCCACGAAGGTGGGTGCAGGATGCGGTGGGGATGGGGCAGTGTTGGGGGTGGGCGCAGGGACTGCCACCACCATGGGCCCCACCACGGGCACCACCACGGGCACCAACATGTCCACCATGGGCATTGCCACCGTTATGGGGCACCAGCATGTCCACCGTGGGCATCAACGTGTCCACCATGGGCACCACCACGGGCACCA